TTCAGGGGAGTCCCAGAAGCCCACCTCCCCCTAACTTCCCTCCACCCACATTCAGGTGTGGGGACTCCAGGCTTTTCTTGTTCCAAGCAACCACCATGATAGTTTTTGGAGTATCTGTGAACCACATATAACATCATCATGTATTCACCTTTTTTCTATTTAAATCAATTCACTTAATATTTTAATTTGAACAAGAACTTGACTTGATTATCCAACATAAGACTACTACTAACGGGCACAGTTAGAAGGCAGCTACAAATAGTATGGTGAGTGAGTAGAATTCTTTTAATCTCCAGGCTGGGAACTTTTTTTAAAACATGGTCCAGGTAAAATGACCCACAAAGCATATCAGGGTAAGCAAACTCTGCCCCATTGATCACTGCCTATTTTGTAAATAAAGTTTTATCAACACACAGTCATTCCTATTCATTTACATGTTGTCTAATGGCCAGACAGAGACAGGCTGGGCCACAAAGTTGAAAATATTTATGACCTGGCCCTTCACAGAAAAAGACTCTTCCCCCTAAAGTATATGACCAATATGCTGATGACCTTAATGGCAAAACTTCTGTACATCAAAAAAAGCATTAAAAAAATGAAAATACAAACTTTAAACAGGGAGAAGAATGATGATATTCAGCACACATCAGCCACAGCTTCCAAAGTGAACTCCTAAAATCATTAAGAGTAAAATAAACCTCAGGCAGTAAGAGAGGAAGAAACCAAAAAGCTGATAACACAAAAACAAACACTCAGCCTCACTAGAAATTGGAGAAACAGAAAACCAAACCACATGACAGCCCATCCCAGAGCCAGCAAAAATGAATGCTGGTGATGACAAAATAGCTGCCAGGGGGCCCCATGGCAGGTGCCCTAGAGAACCTGGTAGGAATGCCAAATGCTGCATATTCTCACTAAGAAGTGGGAGCTAAACACTGGGGACACACGGACACAAAGATGGAACAGCACTGGGGACTACTAAAGGGGGAGCAGGGAGGAATGAAGGGACGGGGGCAAGATAAGAAGACTCCCTATCAGGTACCATGTCACTATTGGGGTGACAGTTTCAATAGAAACCCAAACCTCATCTTCATGCAACAGACCCACATAACAAACCTGCACAAAACCTGCACAAGGACCCCCCTGAATCTAAAATAAAATAAAATAAAACGGATAGGTAAACTTGGACAGTAACTTCAAAAGATGATTTGGCAACACCTGGCACAGCACCAATGTACACCCTGTGGCATGATCCCCTCCAGGTGTGGGCTCAACACGCTCTCATTCACTGCCACCAGGAAAAAAATTCAAATAAAGGATTTCAGTGGAAACTGGGAGCACCAGACCCAAGCTCTCCAGCAGGAAGCAAAAGCAAGTCACCCTGCCCTCCAAAATGAAGATTCCGCTTCTCAGGCCAAACAAAATCTGCCCATAGGAGGAGTCCGAGACAACCTTCAGATCACGGGTTCTCACCTAGGATGATTTTCTCTCTCCCACCTCCCCCAGGGGACACTGGGCGGTGTCAAGATAGACGTGTGTTTGTCACAACAGGGGGCGTGATTACTGTTACCTAGTGGGTGGGGCCAGGGAGGCTGCTGAACAGTTGCAGGGCACAGACAACCCCTTCACAGAGACTGATCTGCCCGGCACATCAGTCATGCCCAAGTTAGGAAACCTGCTGTAGACACTTGCTTCTCAAAGGGTGATCCACGGACCAGCAGCATTGGTACTCCCCAGGAGCTTGTTAGAAATACAGACTCTCAGACCTTGCCACACCTGACGAATCAGAACCTACATTTTCCCAAAGTCTCCAGTGACTCTGGGCAGGGACAGCTAGAAGCATTGATGGAGGACAAATCCACAGAGGGAAAAAGGCAGTGAGGCTCTGAGTTCGCCTTTGGGGCACTGCCTCTCCATCTGCGAAGGGTCAGTTTCTGGGGTTTAAAGAGGGAAGGGAGGGCCAAACATGGTGGCTCAAGCCTGTAATCCCAGCATTTTGGGAGGCCGAGGCTAGAGGACTGCCTGGGCAACATGGTGAGACCTTGTCTCTACACTAAATAAAAAATTTAGCCAAGCATGATAGCACATGCCTGCAGTCCTGGCTACTTGGAAGATTGAGGCAGAAGGATCGCCAGAACCCAGCAGGTGGATGCTGGGGCAGCTGTGAGCATGCCACTGCACTCCAGCCTGGGTGATGGAGTGAGACTCCAGCCCCCTCCCAAAAAGAGAGAGAGAGAGAAAAGGGAGGATGGGGGCTGTCCAGGCCACTGTCCTCCAAAGCCGAGCCCTAGAAGACGTGCTCATACCTGACAAGAGGGTGGAAGGAGATGGAGGAGATGCCCCTTGCAGCTGCCATGCTGGATGACATATGTGAGCGCCTCGACATTACCCCCTGATAGCACACTGGATGCAATGGTGCTGTCTGGCCCCACTTGTTGGGGATATTAGAGGATACAGAGGTTTGCCTGCCGGGAGGGCCTGAGGTGCTCTGAAAGCCCATGGTACCTGCTCAGCAGCTCCTGATATCCTCAGGCAGCATCCATGCCTGGGAACTGGGATACAGAGCAAGTCCGTGAGTTTCTGGGTCCCAGTAGCTCTGGCACATGAAAGAAACCTAGGGGGCACCTGACACTTGAAGGCCACTGCATTCACAGTTCTGCCCTCACTCGTTGGCAGCCTCAACTCCCAAAATGTTCTGTCCAGGGCACGAGACTAGATCCCAACAGAGCTCAACCCACAGGACATGGCCGTTCCACCCCATCCCACCCCACAACGGGGTCAACCTCCAGCCCAGCGGACCTGAGTGACCACCTAGGGCATCCATGGGCAGGGAGTAACACAGAGAGTGCTCACTCACAGCTTGAGTCACAGCCAGACAGCACATGGGTTGACTTGGTGCACATATCGTCCAGAAAATTACATGTATGTGTACAGACGTGCATGTGTGAATACACTTACCCACAGTAATGCACTGTACAACATTTCAGTCAATAACAGATCATATATACCTCAGAGGTCCCATAAAACAGATTATAATGGGGCTTATACCATAGCACCTTATGTCCTAGCGTGAGGCATTCCTCACACATTTGTGGTGACGCTGGTGTAAACACATCGACTGTACTGTCAGTCATATGAAAGTCTAGCACATACAATTACGTGCAGTTCACAGTGCCTGATAATGATAATAAGCAGCAATTTTACTCGTTTATGTATTTATTATACTTTACTTTTAATCTTTTTTCAGTGTTTTCCTTTGACTTATTTTTCTTTTTTTACATTAACTGTAAAACAGCCCCAGGCAGGTTCTTCAAGAGGAATTCCAAAAGGCATAGTTATCACAGGAGATGACAGCTCTATGCGTGTCATTGTCCCTGAAGACCTTGCAGTGGGATAAGCTGTGGAGGTGAAAGTCAGTGACGCAGACGATCCTGACCCTGTGTAGGCCTAGGCTCATGTGTGGACTTGTGTCTTAGTTTTTTGTTTTGTTTTGTTTTTGAGTTGGAGTCTCACTCTGTCGCCCAGACTGGAGTGCAGTGGCCGCTCCCGGCCACCGCAGCCTCGACCTGCTGTGCTCCGGCGATCCTTCCACCTCAACCTTCCGAGTAGCCGGAATTACAGGCATGCACTACCACGCCTGGCTGATTTTTTTATTTATTGTAGAGATGAGGTCTCGCTGCCCAGGCGGGTCTCGAACCCGCGGGCTCAGGCAAACCACTCACCTCAGCCTCCCAAGGGCGCGGGATTACAGGCTGAGCCACTGAGCCTGGCTTGTGTCTTAGTTTTTAAAAAACAATGTTTAAAAAGGTAAAAAAAAAAACCAATATAAAATAGCTCCTAGAATAAGGATATAGAGATATTTTAATGCAGCTGTGCAATGTGCTTGAGTTTTAAGCTGTGTTAGTAAAAAAAAGTCAAAAAGTTAAATAATTTTAAAAACTTATCAAGTAAAAAGTTAGAGTGAACTGAGGTTAACTTACTATTAAATAAAGAAAGGTATTTTTTATAAATGTATTGTATCCCAAGTGCACAGTGTTTATAGTTATAAAGTCTACAGTGGTGCAGTCATGTCCCAGGCCTTCACTTTTACCGCTTTTACTCACTCATTGACTCACCCAGAGCAATATCCACTCCTGCAAGCTCTGTTTGTGGTAAACATCCTACACAGTGGCATCACTTTTTATCTTTTACATTGTATTTTTATTTCACTTTTTTATAGGTAGGTATATTTAGATACACAAATACTCACCACTATGTTACAACTACCAAGAGTATTCAATACAGTAGTGTGTTGTCTGGGTTTGTAACCTATGAGCAGCAGGCTACACCCTACAGCCCGGTGTCACAAGCTACAACACACAGCCCAGGTGCACCATAGCTACACCCTACGGCCCAGGGATGTCATAAGCTACACCATATAGCCCAGGTGTGTCATAAGCTACACCATCTAGGTTTTTGCAAGTACACTGTGATGTTCACACAACAGCAAAATAACGACACATTTCTCAAAATGTATCTCTCTTGTTAAGCAACGCATGACTCATGTGTGCTTGTGTGTAGCTTTTCTTAAAAAACTTAGAAGATTTGGCAATACTGGAACCCACATTCTTGCAGGAAAATGATCTGACAGAGGTGAACAAGGACTGTCCCCCACCCCCAGCACCAACAAGGCATGGCCTCGCCAGTTTGGTCCACTCCTTGCCTGGCTTCTACAGATCAGAGATTGTCCCCTGGGAGCAATTTTACCTCTGGGGACATTTGGCCTTGTCTGGGGACAGCTTTGGTTGCAAGGGGGGTATAATGTGCCAAGACTCAGAATGCTGCTAAGCTTCCTAACATGCACAGAACAGCTGCTCACAACAGGGACCATATAGCCAAGAGACCTACTGTAGACACTGCCTTGCATGTCCAGTCCAGTGCACTGGGGTGGCGGGACCTCCAAGGGGCTCAGCCTGCGAGGACATGTTTGGCTTCCACTGTGCCCGCATGCTGCCACTTACTTGGAGAGTTTCATCTCAATCTGCTGCCGGATCTCCTGTCTCTCCTCGTCGGTTCTCCTGGGGAAGATGTTCCGGTCCTCCAGTTCCTGCTTGCTTGGCCGGTTCCTCAGCTTCACAGCCAGGAGCTCTTTCTTGCATTTCCTGGGCAATGTTCCTAAGAGCCCCATGGAGAGAGAAGAGAAAAAGGGACAAAGAAGACAGGCTTAATGGAGGGCTGGCTTGTCACCAGGCAATCCACCTGCTGGAGAAAGGCCACTGGACCAGAGTGGCAGTGGTTAGAGCTGAGAGGACGTGTGTTTGCCAGTTGGGTGCTTCCAGTGGAATGGTGGACAACATAACGCCACCATCTCTATCAACTAAGTCCTGGTTGACACCTGTTGCTCCAGCGTGACTGTTAATACCCACTTTTTCTTTCAAAAGTATCTGAGTTTGGACCATGAATTACACAGTGATTGTCTCCATGTCAGCCATTGTACCCTACCCAGCCTCACATGGTACCTACGCTCTCCTCCATCTGCTACCCTCTAGCCACATGGGTCCTCCTCCAGTTCCTTCATGTCCTACCTCAGGGTCACTGTGTCATGTCCTTTCTCTGCTTGCCATTCAGTTCTGCCTGGACTGTCCAAGGCTGGTCTCCTACTGGGCAACATGGTGCAGTTTGACCTGGCTTCTTAAAGTCCAGACCCCTCCACTGCCACCACAACCCCCTATTTTAATTCTTTCCTTAACTGGTGTCTTTCCTGCTTGTTGGTTTGATCAACTAACAACTAACCAAATGAAAGCACAGTGACACCCTCTGTCCTAGGAGCGTGTGGAGACAGCACGTCATTGATGAAGACTGTTGAATGAAGTGATAGGTAGACTGACTCCAGATCTGCTAAGGTGAGACAAGTCTTTGTGTCTACACATGTTCAGAATCAACTAAGGAAAATCAGGGTATGCAAGGGTGATCTTAGGGAACAGAATATGTGTACAGCTAAGGTTTTGCTCATTCACAGGCAGAGAAGCCACTCCTTAGTGCAGTAGGGCATACCTGAATGCTGGTTAGTTGAGCTCTCTAAATAATGGAGGGCCAACATGCCCTGGCAATGCAGACGCTGACTACTTGCGTGTACCTCCAAAGTATGGCGTACAATGTAAATTGCAGTTTTGTAGTTTTATTAGCCTAGATTTAATTCCTGGGGACTCAAACCATCATCCAGCACAGTCACTTCCATAGATGAAAGCAGACTTTTTTGCTAAGGAAAGTGGTTCCCCCAAAGAAAGGCAACTCTAGTATGTGAGACAGGCAAGAAAATGAGTTCAAAATAAACTCATAAAAATGTGTTCCACGTGAAACCTCTATGCTAGGAGCAAGTAATTCTCATCTGTTTATTAATCCAGCTTCCATTGGCAAAACAGGGATACACAGTAGGGCCACAAAAAAAAGTATGGGTTGGTTGATTTTCACTGAGATATTAGGAGGTGACCTGGTTTTGTTACTTAAAAGTCAAAAATGAAAATCTCCATAAAAAATAGTTTAAACTTAAATTTAAACTTAAATTTCTGTCATCTAACAAAAATCTTGGATAAAGTAAGATACAAAAAGTGAACTCAGCCAAGGCTTGAATTTCTAATATGTACTTGTTGGCGTTAGGGTTAGGGTTAGAGTTAGGGTTAGGATTTGGTGAAAAAGAGAAAAATAATGAGACTGAAAACTGTTTCGGCAAGGACTCCAGACCAAATTTGTTTTAATAACTTTAGAAATGATCGCAGTCTTGTATTTATAGACTTATAAGAGCCTGAAGGAGTCACGTGCATTCCTCAGTTGGTTTCTACAGCAAGTGATGGCGCAGACTGAATGCCACAGTGACATTCAGGAATTTGGGAAATCTCAAAGGTCTTGAGACAAATCCTCCATAAATGTCAAGGGTCTAATATGAGGAAAAAGGAACTACCCTTCTCAGAAAACTGCAATACGCTTAAACATAAAACTATACTGAATGTGGTTTAATCTTTTTAGCTTTTGATGAGGCAAGTCCTCCTTAAACCTTCTGCAAATGTCTCAGGCTTGTCATTACAAACTTTCAATCATATTTGTTCTTAACTGAGAAGAGATCATTTTACAGGAGATTTCTAGATGTAAATAAAAACTTACACCATGTGAAATCTCTGTGATAGGAGCAAGTAATCCTCATCTGTATATTGATCCAGTCTTTTGAGCACAACGAGGACACACAGTAGGGCCAAAACAGAATCTGACAGGCTGCCTGACATTCACCAAAGTATCATTCTGCTACTTAAAAGTAAAAAAAGAAATCTCCATAAAAATTGCTTAAAATGAGGACTTTTCACAGTTTGGTCATTTTACCCAACGGATTGAATTAATTAAGTGAGCACACATTTCCAGAACAGGTTGGTTAGCACAGAGTAGGACCCAGGAGCTGAAAAATGGGGCAGTTGGAGGGCTGGGGGGAGAAGACCTTTCTGTCTAGACTGTAGGAAATGAGATTCCTCACCACCCCCCCCCCCCACCTTCCTCACCCCCACTTTCTCTTCTTGTTCTTTGATCTGGAAATTCCATTTCTAGGAGTCTGACTCCCAAAATGAATGGGATAAGCACAAAAATGTGCACAAAAGGATGTTCATCCCAGCCTTCTTCACGAACGTAAGAAATTAAACACAACTTAAACATCTAATAAGATGGCACTCTTTAAATTATGGTGCATCTGTTCCACCTAAATATTGTATAGCTATTAAAATGCTGGTGTATATGCTACCGAACGATAAAAGACAGTCCCTATATGTTGCTAAGGAAAGCTAATTATAGAATATGCACACATAACCATTCCTACTCAACACTGTACTAGAAGTCCTAGCCAGAGCAATTGGGCAAGAGAAAGAAATGAAAGGCACCCAAATTGGCAAGGAGGGAGTCAAACTATCTCTGTTTGCGATGACATGATTGTCTACCTAGAAAACCCTATAGACACACATCTAAGAGACTCCTAGAGCTGATAAATGACTTCAGTAAAGTTTTAGGATACAAAGTCAACAGACAAAATTAGTAGCCTTGCTCTACACCAGTAATGTTCAAGCTGAGAACTAAATCAAGAGCTCAGTCCCATGTATAATAGCCACTCAGAATCTATTTATAAAAAAAATAGATTGCGTGTTTAAACCTCAGTCATCCTCAAAGTACTCTCTGTTTGATGCAATACACCTATTGAGATGCTTTTTCCACTGCTCAAAACAGTTTTTGAGCTTGTCAATTTTGACGCCTGTTAGTGCTTCTGCTGTTTTTTGTTTTACCTCTTCTACATTGGCAAAATGTTTTCCTTTGAGGACCTTTTACATCCAGGAAAAAAAAAGTCACTGAGGGTGAGACTGGATGAATAGGGAGGGTGGGGCATGAGAGTCATGCTGTTTTTGGTCAAAATCTGTGGAATACTCAGCACAGTGTGGGCAGGTGAGCTCGTAAATCACCCATCAAGAAATGGGCAAATGCATTGAAACAATCTCCAAAAAAAAAAAAAAAGCCACTGTAGCTGAACGCAGCCTCTCACAACAACACTTGCTGGTACATTGATACTTATGGGTTCCTACAACACTTACCTAGCAGAAAAAGCCTGTACTACAAGGAGCCTACCCTCCAAAAATAATTCCAGTTTTTTTGGGTCCCCTCCACCATACATTTAAACAAGGAGGTAAAAAAATTCTACAAGGAGAACTACAAAACACAGATGAAAAAATTGTAGACAACACAAACAAATGGAAGAAGCTCCTATGCTCATGGATCAGAAGAATATTGTTAAAATGACCACACAGCGCAAAACGACCTACAGATTTGACATAATTCCTGTATCAAAATACCAGTATTATATTTCACAGAACTAGAAAAAACAATCCTAAAGTTTATATGGGACTAGAAAGGAACCCAGATAGCCAGAGCAATCCTAAGTAAAAAGAACAAATGTGGAGGCATCATATTGCCTGAATTCAAGTTATACTACAGGACCATAGTAACTAAAATAGAATGGCACTGACACCAAATTAAACAGATCAATGAAACAGAATACAGAAGCTGGAAATAAAGCCAACTACTTACAACCAACTGATCTCTGACAAAATAGACAAAAGAAAAAAACAAACAAAAAAAGATGGGGAAAGGACACCCTAGTCAATAAATGGTGTAAGACTATTGCGTAGCCATATGCAGAAGAATGAAACTGGACCCCTACCTCTCACCATACCCCAAAATTAACTCAATATGGATTAAAGACATAAATGTCAGATCTGAAACTAAAAAAATCCTAGAGGGAAACCTAGAAAACACTCTTCTGGATGTTGGCCTATGCAACATACAGAAGATCCCAAAAGCAAATGTGACAAAAACAAAATAGACTAATGAGACTTAAACTAAAAAGCATCTGCACAGCAAAAGAAATAATCAACAGAATGATCAAAAAACCTATGGAATGGGAGAAAATATAAGCAAATTATGCCTCAAAGAGCTAATATCTAGAATCTACAAGGAACTCAACTCAACATGAAAAAACTCCATCAAAAGTTGACAAATGACATGAGTAGACACTTCTCAAAAAAAGACATGCAATAAGCCAACAGACATATGAAAAAATGCTCAATCCAGCTGTGGGACAAAGGGTATGGTCAGAAATGGAGGAGGAAGAGCTCCAAAGAGATCAGTGGTGAGTCCGGGGCTGACCCAAACTCCCTCCTCCCCAGCAATCCTCTGAACATCAGACCCACTTATGTGACATGGGCCATGACTGAGAGGGACAAAGCCTGGATGTTAGTCCCAATAGGAGAGCTCCATTCCAGGATAGGCCTGGTTGTAGCACCGCAGTGAGAGTACATACCTGGGGAAGAGATAGTCCCATACTTCCCCACCAGAGATTTCCCTAACCATACGCGAGTGGGAGGGGAGGCCTGCAGACCCACCCACCTCCACTGCTTCGTTCCCTGAGGAAAGAGTGAAAGAAGTGGCTTTGCAGGAGAGATCTGATTAGAGGAACAATTACAGAGCCTGACATAAAAGGGCAGGTTTTTTTGTTTGTTGGTTGGTTTTGTTTTTCCAATTTTTAATTTTTTTAATTAAAAAATTTTTTGACTATTTGCTTGTTAGTTCTTCTATTTTAAAAATATTTTTCCTTT